CATACACCCACCGCCTTTGTTTGGTACAGCAAAAAAATGTAGCTTTAACCCAACCTCACTCAACCATGCAGCGGTTTGTTTTTATTTTTCTTCTTTCTTTTCCTTTCACAAAAGCGTTAAGAAAACAGAAGAAAATAATGACAGTGTGAGGAAGGTAGGCAGTATACTCACAACACGGACACACGCACGGCCGAAACACATCTAACCACGGTTTAGCTGAACAGAAGGAGAACGCCACTGTGTTATTTCAGTTCACAATGCAGGCAAAACTGGAAGAGGGAGAAAGAGAAAAGGGGTGTCTGTGGTTGTGTGTGTGATGTGTGTGTGTGTGTGTTTGAGAAAGCGAGACAGACTGACAGCCTTGAGTTTGATGTCACCCAATTTATTAGACCTGCCACATCACTGAAGTTAATACTTCCTGGGCTCTCTATCTTTAGCTCTCCTCTGCTCTTGCACTCTTCATTTCTTTCCTTTCCCTTTTTCTTGTCTATATGTATCACCAAGTTGATCTTTCAGAGCGTAATGAGCAGGCGAACTTTTGAAAATGTTTTAATTTTGCAGAGGAAACTAAGCCTGTCGAAGCAAATGTTGAATTCATCATTTCATGCAAAATAATCTGTGCTCACATTTCAGTGGCAAGCAAGGAAAATGTTCAAAAGTTGAAGTACAAGCGAGGATTTTTTTTCTCTTTTGTTTGTTTTTTCTTCACTTTCATTGAAATTGGTCTCATAATTTGCAGTGACACCTCCAAAATACCACTGAAATTACATTTTCATATGTGTACTACAAGAGTGTTTTTTTTTTTTAGCAACACAAAACCGCTCAATCAAGCAGGATGAAGTCACTGAAAGAATGAGTGTACACAGCTGCTACTGAACAATGCCAATTCTGTTTTGCTTTGATTGCCAGGCTTTAATGTTGACTAGATGAAATTATGAATTTCTGCCTGTCCTGCATTGGTTTGATTTGCCTGATTAGAACAGAGGTGAAACCCTGTATGATCTGTATCTCTCTCGATGGCCCCTCTTGACGGCCCCTCCCCTAATCCACTGCTAATGCTGAGTGAAAAGTGTTGTGCCATACTGCAAATTTTGGTGTTGATCCCATACCAACTAAATATCTTTTTTATTGAACACAATTCACTAGACTTCATACTGCGCTTGCGAAGTATCACTACTGTCATTCTAGTATTAATCCCATACCAATACCAGTGTTGATATTGATACTATCGATACTGGGATCGAACTGCTGACTCTAACAAAAGTACAGTCAGCACACCCTCCTTTACTGTGTCGGGCATCGTCTCTCCAGTGTAGCCAGTTTCTTTCTTTCTTTCTTTTTTATATAGATTTAGTTCCATGCTTAAGGCCGTCTGGGATGGTGTTCTGGCATTTGGAATTGTGGTTGAACCCATGGCACAAGAATCAACAAACAGTAAACCTAGCAAATACCCTACAATACCCTGGCCACAGGTTCTCATCCACATCACATCTTATGTCATCTAGGGCAATACACCTAGGAAAGAATAGAGTAACACCTGTGTAGATGTTCATCTACCTACAGTAGCCTTTTATCAGTTTGCAATAAGAAGGAAAAAATGTTTTGTGAATTTTGTGCATTCCTATCTTGTAAGCTAGGGGGTTGCTGTTCTGTAGTCTTGTTCTGCATTCAGTTTTACATAGAGCAGTCATTCCCATCTATGGCCCACCCAAAATTTTAATCATAACTACTCAATACTTCTTACCATTTTCTTGCCTGTTGTTGAGATTGCTTCTCAGTTATCAGTTCTCCTTTTGGTACCTAACATAATTAAAATCCCATGACTTTGATTTATTAATACTGAAACAGACTAAGTGATATATTATACCCACCTGTTGTGCTCCTACAATGTTAGTGCAGAGTTTTACTGAGGGTCTTTGAACGTGCTTTACAGTTTTTTACAGCCGCTAGGACACATTTCTCAATACTTAGGTCACTTTTGCAAAACTCTTCACACAATTCTCCTAACTGACCTTCAGCTTG